TAATGGTTTGCTAATCAATTTCCTTAAATCTTGTTCAATATTCTTACTACAATGAGGAAATCTATTTTTCATATCTATCAATATTTGGTGAATTTGGTTGATTGCTTCTTGCTTAAATTCAGCTTCTTCTTGTTCACCTACTTCTAGATTTTTTAATTCAGTAATTTCTTGTTATTTATTGGATAATTGCTTTTTCAATGTTCCAATTTCATTGATTAGTTCTTTATTTGCTTGTTGTTGTTCTTTTAGGATGTGTGACATGATTTTCTTGATTGTTCCTTTTTTTATTTATTCTTTTAATATACTTATATCCTTAGGGTATATTAAGCATATAAATTATTTTAATACTTTTTTACTTTAAAGGTTAACAATATTTGTCAAAAGATTAAACTTATTAAACCTAATGACAGCAAGAGACAAATTAATGAGTGACAAAGTCATGGAAGTGATTTTATCCTGATATTTTATTTGTTGCCAGTATAGAATGGTCTTGGACAAGTGATATCTTTGTATTCATCTTTCACAAATGGGCAAATATTACAGTAAAGATATTCTTGTCTTTTGTAATCCAAAGGAGGTGGTGTTAACACTAAAGTAGATAAAGCTATAATTTCTTCAAAATATCTGCTTTCTTAGTTTTCAATAAATTGAATTCCACCAAAGGTCCATTAGCAACTTCTTGAACTTTTACTGTACCAAGATTAGATGCTTCAAAAAGAAAATGCTGATATTTTGTATACTTGGTAATTTCTTAAAATAAATCCAAAAATAGATTTGATATCTAAATATTGAAAACCTTTTCCACCCTCATAACATTGGGCTTTATTCAATCCTGCTGGACTAGACTTATTTACTACCTCAACCACATGATCCAGACAATCTATTCTTGTTCTCCTATAGAGTTTTTTTATTAAACCAAAGTTACCATCACATTTGAATTTGGTATGTCCTGGAATCATGAAATTCAGTTCAATACTTTCATAATAACCACAAATTACCAAATATAAATAAAATCAAATAGTAGTGTTATTTTTGTTCTGCCCACCAGCATTATCACAAGTAATCTTTAAATGCTTTTCACCTTTGTTCAATTTCTTGATTCCATCAAAAATTATGCTAAGAGTTCCATTGGGCCCTTTTCCTATAATCTCATTTTCATTAAGAACATAATTAATTTGTCCTCTTACTGCTTCATCTTGAATACCAAATAAATGAACTTTACATGGACTAAGATAATAAAGTTTACTTACCTGTTGATCTAAATGGGGTACATGAACATTTTGGGCTCAATCATAACTATAATGAGCAGTAGCATCAATACTGCAATATTGTGTTTTACTCTTTGAATAATTTTGATCAAGTAATTTTCTTTGTTCTTCTGCTAACTTGGTGTTTTTATTATAATATTTTCTTTCTAATTTGGCCTTGGACAAATGTTCTTTAAATCTTTTGAGCAAATCTTTAGCTTCTTCCTTTTGGTGAGCATTATAATGTAAACCATCTCTAAAATGTTGACAAGTCTCACACAAGTCAGTCCTGGGACTTGTAATTGAATTTCTGGTGTCAATTGATGTCACAATTTTCTGAAAGCATCATACTTCAAAGATTTCAAATTACTATCTTCTTCTAGACTGGCTAGAAAATCTCCATGTACCGATTTATAACTCATTTCAGCTGGTAAGAATAAAATTGATTGAGTTATTCTATTGATACTTCTTTCTGGACTTGGTAATCCATGGACTTCTGCATAATTTTCTAGAAAATTCTTTATCACTTCAGCAATGCTTTTGTCAATCACCATCTTAGTTTTTCATTGAGGCATTCTTTTTATGTTACCATGAACTCTTGGTAAAAGGCCATTGTTTATCAGATGATTTCTAAGATTCTCAAAATAAGTCCTACCAGTTCCCAACATATTGAGATAAGTTTCTTGACAAAGAGGTGTATTGTGATCCCAATGGTAGAAAGTTTTTTTGTTAGATCTAGTTTTCTTTTTAAGGCGTCTACTAGTGCTTATTAATCCACCATCCATTGCCTTAAGTTGGGCCATTAAAAATATGTCTTGTTCAGACTTGGAAAGAGCTTGAAATGATTCCCTTAATTCTGCAAATTGTTCTTTGGGAATTCTTGAAGAACAACCACAATTACATCCTTTTTCCAAAAAATCAATTGCTTTTTGACATTCATTAGAACCATTGTATTTATTATCACTTTTCATATATACACTTATCCCTATATATATAATTTTATGTTCACTTTATAGGTTTTTAAACTTAAATATCAAGAATAATTTTAAATGTGTGCCCAATAATTAATTTAAAATATGATTTTGTTTGAGTAACCTGAAAAAACCTGGTCAATTGTCAATTGAGCCCTATGAAATAATAAATGAATATTTGTAATATTTTATTTTCATCAATAGAAAATTGGTTCTGCATATTACTAATAAGAAACATACAATAATCATAGAAAGTGTTGTTGTTATAGAAAAGTTATATTCCTAGAGCTCAAGTTGTGGGTTTGACCTATTTGAGTCAAGTCAAGCCATGACAAAAATAGAGTTGAGTCAAGTTAATGTTCAAACTCGACTTGACTCGACTTGTTCAGAGCTCTATATATTCTTTATTTCTGGAACATACATTACAAATTGATATAATGGATATTGTTTTAGAATAAATAACTTGATTTGTAAAATGCTATTCACAAAGGATAATTAATGAGTGAAGAGATATGGGACAATTAATCTCAAATGGACATTTAGGGGAATAAACATCATCACTACTTAATGACTGAACAGATAATAAAGTTATATTTTTAAATGTGTATTTATAATAGAAATACAAGACATTTAAAAGCTATTTTATTTTCAGTTTTGAAAATTATCAGAATACTTAAAGATAGCAAGAAATGAATTTGAATCTTTATCAATATTTTACAGAAATGAATTGGATCAGTTATAAATTAAACATTGCTAAAAAGTTTTATTCTAAAGCCATCTTTTGAAATTATACAATTACCCACCTATAGAAAAATTAAAATATTTTTTTCTTTTAAATGTATAAAAAATATTTGAAAAAATTTGGAAAGACAATTGGCTATCAACAAAATCTAAATGTTAAATGTATGTTTCAATAAATATCATCAAAAATATCAAATGGATCACTTTTCTGTCTTTTAATTATAGGTGTATCTGAAGTCTTATGAGGGAGTGATGACGGAGGTGATGGTGTCAACAATCTTTTTTGTGCTGTTTGTCTTATATTCTTTGCTAAATCTAGCATTGAATGCTATATAAAACAATATGTAGTAGAACTGTTTAGATTGGTGGTTTGAAATAGAAAAGACAGAAAAAATACATAATGCATATAGATGCTGGTTGCAATTCTTGGTGATGGTTGCAACCATATTTGCGACATATAAAAATGGTTTGCGACACCTGGTTGCAACCATCTTTGCAACCACTTTGGTTTCCTTTTTTGGATTGCGACATGGAACACTAATAATGCATACTCTCAGTCCTAAAAGATTTTGGATAAATCCTGGTAGAAAATCTTCCATGGATGACATTGTTGTTGGAACAGTTAATGTTGCCATTTCTGTATAAAAATAAAAATTTTTGGATTCATCATACGACATTGAGTGGATAGTCCATCTCATTCCTAGATAGATTGGAATTCCTTTAGTTAGTATTGATATTTATATATATATTGTGTTTTGTATAATAGATATATATTCAAATAATCTGTGTTTAGATTTATAATCTAAAACAACTTTTACAACCTGATACTTGAATTCCAATTATATAAAGATTATTCATGTCTTTTTTGTTGAAGTGCAGATTTATTCTTAACATATCCAAAGAATCCTTCATTGCAATTTTGACAGTTGAATGATCTTCATGATATTTTCTGTCATCAAAATTACCAATAATGTTTGAAGTATTACCTGCCTCTATGAATAGTATTTCTATTGGATTGCTTCTTAATGTCACAATGAGATCCATTTTTTGTATTTGATTATTTAGTTGTGTATATTCTGGGTGTATGTCTATTCTTTTTCTACTTGCAATGCTTCTTGATTCTTTCTCAATCCTAGTATAGGTCAATTAATGTCACAATAAATAATATGGTGAATGTTATTACAATGAAAATACCATCACCTACCAATTAAGTTCAAAGACACCATTGTCAAATTCTTCTAGAAGAAACCCAATTATATGACTTAAGATTTTTACTGTAAAATCCCATTCACATTGTGGTTGCACCAATACATTAATTTCTCTTCTTAAACAGCGATGACTAGCAAAATACAAATAGAATAAAAAATAAAAATTTTGTCATCTCATATCACAACTAAGATATTTATAGTTTATACTTACAAAAATTCTATGATTTCCATTGTTAAAAATGCATCCTCAGATCTCAAATTTTGGAATTTATCTTTCCATGATTTTAGACAATTTAATGATCTAAGGTTTGGTGCATCTTTCAATAATTGTTGCACATTAATATCAATTTTATCTTTAAAAAGTAACTTCCTTGAATTGGTGTATAAAGATGAATAATCTTTTACTTTCAAGATTCTATTCCACTCAATATTTGTCCAGTTTGAAAGATCCACAATACGAGATTCAATGGCTCTAAAATATCATTAAATAAACAGTAAACATAGGCATACATTATTGATGAAAATACATAACTATTATTTCATACTGTGCTCGCAAGTTTTTTTCCTTCAATCTTTTCATTACTCTTTCCCATATTTCCTCAAGATTTAAAGTTGAATTAAGGATTAAATAAGAAACCTATAATTGAATTAAGTGAAGTATTAGATGTCATCTTGAAAGGGCACATTCCAATGACAAACATACATTTTTTGTCACATGTTCATGTTCATCATCATTAACAATATCATTTTCATGGTCATCATCATTTTCTGATATAGTATCTTCTAGAATTGTCAACAGATGAACTGAATAAATTTAGAAATCTAACCAAGCAATAAATAGAAATTCAAAAGTTTAAATTTTTAAATTCATACCAAATGAGTTGTCAATCTCATAATCCAAATCCTACAGTAAAGTAAAATATGGTCAATAAATACCATGAATTAGGAGTAGTTGTGAAACAGTGATAACAAACATTAATAATGTAAACATCAGCCTTCTGGTTCTCTTTGTCATTTCTAGTAGCAATATTAAAATCACTTCGGGTTATTTCAGTTAGAATCTTCCTTTGCTAAAACAAGAAATTACATTAGTAGAAAATTCTTTATGTATTCCTTCGATATGCAATGACCTTTATCCTTACCTCTGCTTGTTTTCTTCTTGTATCAAGCAAAGTATCACCAATTGTTTTCAAGCATTGTGTTTGCTAATGAGTATTGGAAACAGGGTTAGAAATGATATTTATGAAGATACAATGAATATAGCAGATAGGAAACCTTACAATCATCTGTTTTTGGAAATTTTTAACTCTTTGTTTTACAAGTTGATCAATGTCTTTAATTGCTATAACATCATCAAGGCTTTGATTGTATTCATTCCATACTTGTTGTGGTGTTATAGTAGGACATTCAGCATACACGAATTTTGTAAAATGGCTAATTTGATCCCACCATCTCAAAACTGTATTGGCAAAAAATTTATTGATCCTAGAGTGTGGTTTACAGAAATTTGCATTCAATCTGAATTTTGTAAGTTTATCCATCTGTTTATTTAAAAAAGTTGTTAGTATACACTGGAATCACAAATGTAATTACGAATTTCACATTGCTTGTCTTATAGGTTTAAGTTAATCAGTCACATCATTGTGTTGAAACACATGATGTTCACAGGTAATCCTTGGAATTACCAACATAATGACCCTAGCTGCCCCTCTCGTGTTGAACGATTAAGCAGAGTGGTGAATCTCCTGCAACATAGACTGACACTCTCCCAAATGCAAGCTTTCAGCGCCTCTTTTCTTACACATGTGTTGAAACATGGAAGATTTGCAAGTAAACCCTGGGACGTTAGTAACCCAGCATCCTGCTGTCTGGCCAAGTGAGTCACCTTTTACGTTGAGCTACAGGTGAGAGTTGGCGATTCCCAAGCAACAAAAAGAAGTCACATACTTCATATTTTATGCAAGTAGAAACTTATTGGTACTTAGCTTTAAAATATACAATAAATGATTGTTATGAATAAAATTTTTTTAAAAAAAGTTACGCATGCACAAACCAATTAGGGTTTGTATTCACGGATACCGTAAGGATGTCACACAGGGTTACACACTATTAAAATCAAGTGTTTTTAAGGGATTTTTTGCTGATTTATTAGTGTGTAACCCCCTTAATGGTATTCATGGTATCCATGAATACAAACCCTAAAACCAATTATAATGTATGATTTAATGGGGTAAAAACAGGGGTAATGTAGATGAAAATCCATTTTTAGAAAAAATAAATAAATAATTGAATTACATTTTTTTATCATTCAAAAAACCCGTAGAAAAAAATTAACACTAAATCCCTTAAAAATTATGAATTAGTTAGTCGTGTAGTAGATAGTAAAACAGTCTATTGCATTTGTGGTAAGCGTGTTAGATTAGATAGAAAGTATGATTGTTGTAAACGAGTAAAATTTTGATGTTGTACAAACTATGTGGTTTGATAATAATAAGATCAATTAATTAATCATAATTTTACGCGGCCTTCCCCATGACATATGTCAAACATTTTTTTTTTATCTTTATATTTTTATTTATTTATTTATTTTGTTCTTTAGTTATTAGTAGTATTTAATTATAAACCAAAGTTGGTCGTAAATACTGTACAAGTATTCATCGATTGACTAAGGTTCGGATTCTTATTTACCATACATTAATGGACAATAGATTAATTTAACTTGTAGAACATAATAATATTATTAATTTAAATAAATTTTTGGTTAATTCCATTAATTCAAAAAATTCTCAATGTATTATAAAAACTGATAGTGAACAAAAAGAAGAAGGGGGAACGGAATAACAAAGCTATACAGAATTTTGTAATTATCATTAAAAATAAAATAATAAAAACACAAGTTATAACAAAATATTCGCATAATTGTTGTATTTAATATTAAGTAATAAAGTAATTAATTACGTCGTTTGACTATTCGGATAATTCCTGTGGTGAATAATTAATTAATTTAATAATAAATCCAGCCTGACGGGGGCAGTGAGAACTAAATACCCAAGACTAATCTAGGATTAGTAAAAGATTAATTCGTTAGGAACTAATTGAATCTATAGTAATTAATTAATTGACCAACGTAAAGGAACGATAATTAATAAGATTATTTTTCTTCCAAATATTTCTGCTTTTTGTTGGGCAATAGAATACTTTCATTCTGCTTTCTTTTCTTAATGTTTATTATTTTTCTTTCTTCATGGTAAATTTCATAGGTAATCCTTTCTTTTCTTAGATAAGCTTCCAGTGTCTGAGTATCATTTATTTTGAAAATGTAAGGAGCAATTTTTTCACCCTGTTCCTTTTTCAAAATACTTCTAATGGTACTGTAATTCTTGGGTTCCACAGTAGATCTGATATAAATTAATTTCATATTAACTATTTTTATTTAGGGATAAAAACAAATATCATACAATTGTGATGTTAAACAAATATTATGATCCCTGAAATCCTTGGTAACACCAATGTTCACTTTGTTTGGTTTTGTTGCAGTATGCCCCACATAATACCTTAGATGCTGAATTACAAATTTTGATCGAGAATCTAAAACCTGGCACAAGAGGCATTAGCGATCCAGCATGATTTAAAGGTCAGTAATATTTTTCATGATAGTGAATGTTTCTACACCTTATGCTACTGGTATGGGAAGAAGAGTGCTCAGTCTAATGTATGCCATGACATGCATACAGCATTGTGTGCTATACCCTGTGCTACTAAGAAAGTGTCTGGTTTATACATCACTACAGTGTGAGCATTTTGCACTTTCATGAGAGATGTACCCCATGACTACTGGTCGAGTTGTTGAGGCCATTTTGGCCAAGGTGGGAAGTGATCCACAACCTAGCCTATGCTCATAGTGGTTTGTGCTGTTTCCTGCTGGCTTAGCATATTATTTGCTAATCTTTTTTTGATGTCACAGAAAAAGGGAAAACAAATGTTTGAATTTTTTTTTAAATCAAAAAAAGAAATTTTAAAATATACTCTCCACAGATTACTTTGAAAATCCATCTTCATACAATGAACAATCACATGAAAATGAAGATGAGGAAGAACCTAAATCACAAAAATTCACAGAATATGATATCATTGAGGAATTAACATTTGATTTATGTGTTGCCATGTTACTCCCACCATATAGAAAAATTCTTGAAGAAATGCGAAATCATCACGTAGAAGAAGAACCGTAACAAGCCCAACACTTATCTTCTATGCTCAAATGGTCTTTTGTGGAAAACGAATATGTGTTGGGAAAATTTACCCTGTGCTAAATTTGCATTGAATCGTTATTTGCCGATTTGGTTTTTGGATCCTTTTTTCAAACCTTATATCTTATTGTGTCCCGACGTTAAACACGTCAAAAATGGTGTGTAAACTGGTCAATAGAATGATAATTAACCCCAAAAATTTTATTTACTCCGCTAAAAAAACTATTTTACTATTCGATAGCCCGTCAAACCAATGGTCACACCTCAAAACCAACGGGTTTTTTCTCGTATAAAGTATTCATAACGTTATGATCATACCGTACTGGATTTTGGGGTTCAAACAAAATCAGCGCATATGAATTATTTACTATACAAAGAACGAGATAGTCAATGATAGTGTTACAAGGAACTTCAAACAACGGGCCCATATATTTAAGGTATTATTCATTTAGAATCAATACCTTACTTTCATACATGATATATTAATTTATATCACTAATTAGATGGGATGACGGATGACATTATTGTTGTAAGGTCGTGTGGATGAGCATCAACAAAACTGCTATCCATATCAATGTGGATCATGTGAAGCTCTTGCATAATGGAAATCCGACATTTAGTAAAAAAAATATAATAAGAATTAAAAGTCGAGTTTAAGTATTGAGCTTTGAATTCAGATTTGAGCTTGATTTGAATTCGAGTTTGAGTTTGATTTGAATTCGAGTTTGAGTTTGAGTTTGAATCAATGATTTAAATATGGGATGATGAATTTGGATTAAAAATGAGTTTCCAATGTGAGTGTGAACTTGAGTTTTATTTTTGACAACACATTTATAGGCAAAAGGTTGAAATTATGTTCATATTGATATTAAATAATAAACAAAAATTGACTCTAAAGCATCAAAAATAATTAAAAAAAAAAAAAACAAGCAATTAATTAGTTGAATAAAAAAATGTGAATTCAAAAGTAATCAATCAATTTGGTTTCCTTCTCAATCATGTGATTATGATTCCTTATTTAAAAATTATTAAATTATTAGATTATTAAAAAAAAATAATAATGAAGTTGATGATTTGTTTTAATAGTGCAATGTATATCTATATCCTTCCTTAATTTCATCACACAGGTGGCCATACACATTGTAAAACATCTGCTACAATATCACCAGATGTCAAGACTTTTGGCAATAGTTTTCTTCTTCTCATCAAAGTTGTTATACTTGTACCATACATGATACTCTTATCATCTTTAATGTCTCTTAAGATCAACCTATGACAAAAAACCTTTTCACTGGCAAACAAAACCAACTTTGGGGTTACATAATGATGTTGAAGAATAGCCGCCAAAGCTCTTTAGTAATAATTGATCGATTGATTATAAAATTAATATTTTTGTTTTTGCTTTTGTTTTTTTATATATTTATATAGCTTGCTTACTTGATAAGAGTCATAAAATCCAAATATGAGCGAGCTGTAACACCACCTTTAACTAAACGGTGTGTACGTATTCCAACAACAACATCCCTAATATATCTTTCCATATCATTATGAATAATCACATTATCTATTTTATTAGAAAGTTCTTCAATATCCTATAATAAATTATATATATATATATTTATTCATCTGTATCTTTTTTCTCAATTACATGTATTTTTATTTTTTTAATTGTTACTTACAGAATTTCTAATAAGTGCATTACGACGATTAACATTCATTGGAGATCTTCCTCCGCCTGATGGTATTCCAATAACACTTTCATATGTATAATTAATAAAAAACCTATCAAGCTTTTATAATTTAAAAATAAAATAAAAATAAAATAGAACCGATAATCAACAATCAACAATCAATAATCAAAATGAAAAAGAGTATTTGTTCACTTACCAATTGTCTAGGTATATCATAACTATTACTATCTGTGATTGGTAGCAAAGCAACAATTATAAAGGGTTTGGGTAAACCGTAAACTGAAGTCCTATCAACAACTTGTTTTTTAACAAGAATCTAAAAAGCACCGTAACAAATAAATTTTTTTTGTAATAATCATTGGTTTCATCTAAAAATAGAGCTCAACTTCATCATTACCTACCTCCATTAACAAAGCATGTATCGTTTCATTTGCCTCAGTTAAACTTTCAATAATCACCGCATGTGCTAGTTTACGAGAGTTTGAAAAGTAAGGAGATGGAGGATCAAAAATACCTGATGTACTCAAACTTTCGTGTTTTTTCTTGGAGAATGTATAATCACTCGGTGTGTTAGGTGTCTGTGTTGGTGAAGGACTTATGTGCGGTTGATGATTGATTGATTGTGTATTTTTGCGCGATTGTCCGGTGCTAACACTTAGTTTTGGACGAATTGATAATAACAATGTTGATGACATTTTCTCGGAAGTATTACTGTTGTCATTAGGTTGTTGCTGTATCGAGGTTGATGAAATGGCAGTGTTTTTTCTACGTGATGTCGTTAGACTTGATGATCTATTAAAAGAAACATTTGATTCTTTAGGACTATCATAAAGACGTGAACGCTCTCTGTGCTGGTTTTTAACAATAATATATAAACCAAAAAGTAAATTAAAAAAATAAAGTAAATTATGACTAATAATGTGTCAATAATAACAATTTACTAACTTAAATAAACCTTTTGTGAGTTGTTATCTCCTGAATCTGGATACAATGTATTTGATCCCATTGATTCATCACCGCCACCAATTATACTGCTAGATCCTGCTTGACCATATTCAAGAGTATTTGATTCAGTGTTCAACAAATCTTTTGGATTTGATGAATTGTATGACATATTGGAACGTCGTTTAGTTCGGGCCAAATCATGCGCTGTTGATGTTACCGTTAATTTCTTATCATTGGATTTATTTGAGTCGACAGTTCTCAACGATCTAGAAGATTTTTGTGTTTTTATTGTAATTTCTTCAGGTGAATCATTAGATAATAAATACAAATTTTCATCTCTTGCTTTGTTAATAAAAAGACTTGATGTGAATTCTGCAATTGTTTGTGGCTCTTCACAATTAATTGTGGCACAGGTTAAGCCAAAAATAATTTGAAATATCTATAAATTGTAATTGTTTTTCTTTTAAAAAACTTGTTGAGAAAGATAACAAACAAAAAACAAACAAACAAACAAACAACAGTAAAGACTTGCTTGTTCAGTCATGTTTCGTAATTCTTCCATATTTTCTTGCTTGCATATCAAGATCAAATGTTTCTCTCTAGAAATCAAGCATACTAAAATAGATATTAGAACTTCATCAGAAAAATGAAATCCAATCACCCGTTTAATAGTTTGAAGTTTGGCTTTCAACCAGCTTTTCGTTGATGGTGGTGTTTCTGAATGCATCTACTGCTTTTGACGACGATTTTATACGATTTATTTTTATTATTATTACATATAATATATAATTCAATATTTTATTTATCGTTCTATGTTGTTACACGAATAGCAAGTTTATTATTATATATATAATTTTTTCATTTATATACACATAAAAAAACCAGGCTAGGAACATTCTGACAAAGATTCTTTTTTCAAATAATCAATGATCAACTCAAGTCAACAATGTCGGTTGACAATGTGGTAAAGGTATGAAAAAAAAATTTTTTTTAGTAAGATTAGGTTAGAGTATTGTTTACACAGACAGAAACAACACATGTTTTCTAATAGAGTGATATTAAAATGAAGCTTTTAATTAATTAAAAGGTTGCAAACATTTCGTCTAAAGTATCGGAATTAGTTTTGAAAAAAATATTTGAACATTTAGGAGAAGTTACAAGTATTACTTTATATAATAGGTAATTTTTTCCAAATGGATAAAAAAAAAAATAATTAATAATAAACAATAATGCAAATAATTAATAGTAATAATAATAATATAATAATAATTAATAGTAATAATTGTTATTATAGCCCTCATGGGGATAACGTACAAGAATGTACGATAGAATTTAAAGAAGTATCATCTGCCATGACAGCTTTACATCTAACTGGCATGGAATTAGGTGATCGCGCATTATTAGTTTCATCAACGTTAGCTCCAGTTGGAATAAATGTTAATAATAATAATAATGGTACCAGCAGTGGCATAAATCTTAATAACAATATTAATAGCAGTAATTCATATCAACAAATGATCATATCACCAATGTCCCAAATAACTATACCACAATCTATTATAGCACCACATAGACCAATACTGCAAACAAAGCCGTCTATCACAATACCACCAAAGCCAATGCTTCCTACAACTCTAACATTCCCCACATTTACCACACAATCTCTCACGACTATAAGATCTGCCAATCCTTCAATTTCACCAACCGTTGCGCAATTTGACCCTGCAAAAGCAGAAGAAATTTCACGTACTGTCTACATTGGCAATATAAATTCATCGATTTCTGATCCTGAGCTCATACAATTTTTTTCTGCGTGTGGACCTGTTGCCTATGTAAAAATGGCTGGTGATCCAGCTCAACCGACTCGATTTGCTTTTTTGGAGTTTGCAACATTTGAAGGTGCACAGGCAGCAATGTTGATGAATGGTGTGATGCTTGGAGATCGACCATTAAAGTAAGTTCAACCACTTATATATATCTCGAGTTGATGGTTCATTGATTTTCAATGTCAGAAACTGAAAAAAAAAATTTTTTATTAATTAATTTTAATAATATTCACAATATGATTTATAGAGTCAATCATTCAAAAAATGCCATTAATAAAACACCCAAAAAAACAGATGCACCAGACGTTCAAGCAACAATGCGTCGAGTTAGAGAGGCGCAATTGAGAATTGCAAATCGTTTAAATACAGATGTCCCACTATCAGATGCACTTTCTTCTTCGACATCTGCACTACACACATTAACATTACAACAGCAACAACAGCAGCAACAGCAGCAACAGCAGCAACAACAACAACAACAAGACATTGAGAAGTTATTGGCTACTGCTAATGCATCATTGGATGTTGTTGCTAGTACAAATGTACCTCGTAGTAGATCAAGATCTGTTAAACGTAGCAGAACTAGATCTAGAACAAGAAGTGGAAGTCGAGCTAGAAGACGTAGAACAAGTCCTAGATCAAAATCAAGAGAGAGAGGTAAGGTTTATAAAAAACATTATGCATATTCATATGCGTATGTGTATATGTTTAAAAAAATTTATTCTGTTTTTTTTTTTTATAATGATGATTTCGAATTTTAATTATTTTAGATTTTTATTATCGTACACGTGCCAGAAGTCATTCAAGAGATAGACTTCGAGGTTTGTTCAAGTAGTATTTTTTTTAAAGAAGAAATAGATGGTTGTTCTGTTTAATTAATTAATTTACATTTATTTTATATAGCTGATAGATATAGATATAGGGATAGGGAGAGGGATAGAGACATCGAGAGAGATAGGGAGAGGGAGAGGGAAAGAGATAGAGATAGAGATCGGGCTAGAGATCGAGATCGGGCCAGAGACAGAGACAGGGATAGGGACAGGGATAGGGATAGGGACAGGGACAGGGATAGGGACAGAGACAGAGACAGGGACAGGGATAGGGATCGCGATAAGGACAAAACTAAAGAACGTGATCGTGATCGTGATCGCGATAAAGAAAAGTCAAAGGATAAGGACAAGGAAAAGGATAAGGATAAAAAACGGGATAAAGAAAAAGACATTGGCGAAAAGATAAGTGAATCCGAAAAAGATAAAGACCGTGAAAAGGATAAAATTAAGGATCGTGATAGAGAGAAGGATCGAGACAGAGACAGAGAAAAGGATCGAGACAGAGACAGAGAGAAGGATCGAGACAGAGACAGAGAAAAGGACCGCGACAGAGAAAAGGACCGCGACAGAGAAAAGGACCGCGACAGAGAAAAGGATCGCGACAGAGATAAGGACCGTGACAGAGATAAGGACCGTGACAGAGATAAGGACCGCGACAGAGATAAGGACCGCGACAGAGACAGAGAGAAGGATAAACAAAAAGATTCAGACAAGTATTTAGAAAAAGAAAGAGATAAGGATAAAGATAAAGAAACTTATCGAGATAGGACCAGAGATAAAGATAGGCATAAAGACAAACAATCAGAAAAAGAAAAGGATAGAGATAGAGATAGAGATAGATATAGAGAAAAGGAAAAGGATAGAGAAAAAGTAAAAGATAAAGACCATCAATGATAATAATAAATTTTTGTTATTCAATATGTAAAATTTTTTATTTTAATAAAATACTATTACTACATTATAATTATGCTCATACATCTTTTGATAAAATGATTATCATGCAGAGATTGATCTGAATTTCGCTCAGGTACTGCCGATTTTGGCATCATATTAAAGAATCGCATTAAAATTATCATGAATCTTTAAAAATTTTAAATACCGAACCGATACCACCATTAAGACAACATTCTTTATGCTTATATGTGTTTGCAGAATATTCATTCTTGTGTGAGTTTATATTAAATAACATGATTAATTTGTGTTAAATATATTAATTATATTCATGCAGTGAGATAAATACCTTTAATCCATTAAGTTATTATTATTATTATTATTTTAACTCTCTTAAACATTAAAATTTATAAATATATATATATCCTTTAAGATGGTAATAGTTAACCAAAACTCGCCATTCTTCTAGTTGAGTTAAAATAATAAACATGTATTTTTCTTTTACGAGTAAAATCACTTGTGAAGGAACTCTCTATTTGTTCTAATCTTGGAAACAAAGATATCTAAGAATCATTAATTTATTAAATACGCAATAAGGTAATGATAGTTTTTGTTTATGTTTTATTGAAGTTGAATTTTATTTTATTATTATTAAATTATATCAAAGTGATGACGATGTCATTAAGGAACCGAAGGCATAACTTTTAACTGACCATTCTTTTTCGTTTCTTTAATAAACCATACCTAAAATTTTGCAAGAAAGTCACAAAGGATGAATATCACGCCTCTTGTTAAAAATACGTGCTGATGTACTAGTGACAGATAAGAAGGCTACTTTGATTTAACAGTGTATTGTTAGTATTGTTACGAATAGTCGAAATCGTTATTCAAAAGTATCATGAGCATTTTTGAAAATTTTCCTAGGTTCGAATTAAAACGACCAAAAGCTTTTGAATATTTGAGTAAAGAGTGGAGGTTGCGAATAGGAACGTTACGACAGGCAGCGGTAGAAACGTGTTGCCACGTTCCGGCAACGAAACTTAATGCCAATACTAATTATAATAAAAGCAAATGTCCGAGTTTCGCGCGTGGTATGTTTTTAATATTTGTTCTTTGAAATACAAGTGATATAAACCTGCCATTGACAATTATAGAATCAGCCATACACCTGACAAGTGACTGAAACGCGGATTTTTTAAAAAAGAGATAAATATACATACACACATATTGATTATTAATGATTTACCAGTTGTTGATTCTTCTAGCTTATCTATAAATCGATTTTAACAAAGATTACCTTATGGTCAGCAATTAATTTGTCAGGGAAAATGAAAATAAAACAAGGCCTTGTTTAGAGCCAATCAAATTGCTTTGCACATAGTAAATAAAGAAAGCATGGATTGAAATGGATACGTAGTAATAATAATAATAATACATTATATTAATAGATCTACAAATATCACTATTTATCTTGTAGTTAATTAATAAATAATAAAAAACTCTTGTACCATAATAACAAATGATAACACTAACCATCTTTAGTTTCTTGAAAACAATGAGCATGATGATGGTTGTGGTGGGAAGTATGACATACATCCACCACAAGCCATTTCTGCACTGTCTACGAAATATATCAACAAGCAGATAATTCGTCATTATCGTATTTTCCTAAATTTCCTAAATGAAAGTTACCCTTAAGAGATTTTGATAACGTTTGTTTACTTTATTATTTATTATTTATTATTTATTTTATTTTACAAGAACTAAACAAAGTATTTTTTTAAATAAAAAGGCGGACGAAAATGATCTTCAATAATGCATAATCTCTATATAATAGGATTTGTTTACTAGTACTAACTAACACTAGTATATTTAAAGACGCTCCAACATTTTACACGAGCAGGATAATCATCAAGTCATAAGTTAATAAAACTTACTAATACTAATGGCGAGTAGGTTGAATTCCGTCAATGAATGGGTGATAACAGTAACGCTTTTCTTTTTCATTGAAAGTAAAAGGTCTATGAATCACGTGCACAGATCAACAATGGCTTACCAGAATACATTATTTATCTTTACCACGTTAAACAAAAAAAGTCTCGAGACAAAAGCCACTTTTGGGTTTATTGTATAGTTAGCCTGCTTTTATTTCTTTGATTTCACTTGTACCGTAATTAGAT